TAAGAGCTCAGCCAAGCTAACTATTGGGGTCCCTTTCTGGCCTTCACAATCTGGAAGTTTAGCAGCTAGACATAGAGGGAATCACTCTTCTGTCTGGTCTCCCCTTCATTATAGAGATAAGGTGGGAGAAATAATTTCTTTTATTGGACCCACTTCAGAGACCAGCTTTTGAAATACACAGAGCTCTTCTTTGGCTCTTTCATTGGGTAAGGCAGTGGTTCCCGGCCTTTTTTATACTGTGCACCAGCAAACCCATTCACAAACTTTTGGTGGACCAGTAGTATCTTATTTGCATATTTGCTTATTCATTATGCAGATAATGAATATGCAAATACATTTTATTGGTCAGCCATGTGTACCTCAGCTCCACCCCCCAGAGCCACAGAAAACAGCTAGCTTCAGCTCTTCATGGCCCGGCCAGGCACCGGCCTGCAGCCCGGCAGCTGGGAACTGCTGATGTAAGGGAATAGATACATATTTTAAAAGGCAGAATGGAGGCTGTGGCTACATGGCCCTGTCGTCTGGAGAGGCGAATTGCAGAGTGCATCAAAGTGTGATACTAGAACTGCTTCTTAAGGATGATGTGGACACAGACTAAAAGGTACTTAGTTCACATCAACATTGTTCTCTTTGAAGGACTTCCCTGTGGGTGCTGCAGTGATCCCATCCATAGTCCAAACGAGGGATGTTAAAAGCCGTTTAAATAGGTAACCATGGAGCTGCTGAAGAGCTCAGCAATTACATGGTTACACGTTCTGCAGACTCCGCAGTATACAGCTTAAATAAACTTGATACCATAGAGCCCACTGCGAAGCCTCCCCACGTCCCTGGCACCCCTGGGGAGGAAACGTCCCTGCCACACTAAAGCCTCCTCCCTGGGAGTGGAGCGGGCAGCCTCCCCGGCATCCCAGAGAGTGTAACCAACATCATTAACCAATAAGCATCAGCTTATCAGTTAAACGGTTAGTTGGTTAAACACAGCATCCCTAGTCCAAGCTGCAGGGCCATGTAGATAAGCCCAGGAGGCCATACTGGTGTCTTTAGCAAAGGTCTGTCTATGATGTGTCTACATGCTAATTCTGGATTCAGTAGCATAATTATCCACTTAATTGAGAGCTGGCAGAGCAGGTCTATAGTGGAACTGGCGCCAGCCCGGTACACAGACTTGCATTAGCTGGCTCACTAAAGCTTGAACCAGCTCACTAAAAATATCAGCGTGGATGTTTGAGAAGGGGAGCTGTGTTGGTCTGTTTCAGCGAGAAGTCCTGCAGCACCTTAAAGCCTAGCACATGTATTTGGACATAAGCTTTCGTGGGCTGGAGCCTACTTTGTTGGATGGGTGAATGTTGTGGCTCTGCTGGAGGCTTGGGTGAACCACCTGGGTGTTGGGTGGCCTTAGGAGCCTGAAGTTGCCTGAGCTGCAAAGTCCAAACTACCATTTTTAGCATGCTGGTTCCAGCTGAGCTAGCATGAGTCCACCTATCTAGCCTGAGAAGCTCTCGGGTCTGCAGCAAACCCAGACCAATATTGTTCTGGACAGTTATGCAGGACCCTAGAATACCTGGGCCATTCAAGGTTTCCTTTCCCCCCAGATCATTAAGAAGTTGTTGGAAGGTAAAGAATCCTTGGTTGCTGAGCAAGTGAATAAATTAATGAGCAGCTTGACGGAGTACAAACAGGTGAGAGGAACTCAGTTCTCTTTAGATTGGCATGGAAGACAGAGGGAGGCCATGGTTCTGCATCAGGATCCATCACTTTGCACTCCTCAGCCTGTGCGGAGTTTTGTTGATGTCAGTGGGACTTTGCAAGGTCTGAGCTATTAGATTCAATTGCAGGATTGGAGCCTTCTTTCAAAGGGCAGCATTGGATCCAGGGACAAGGATGTGGTAGGAAAGGTGCAGATCAGGCTGCCTGGGGCCCCTGTATTTGCTCCCATAGCATTTCAAAGCTCACATCTACCCCTGTATAATGAGCCAGTATTAGCATATTCCACTGCACCTGGCCTGGATAGTCTCCGTTCCCTAACCTAGCCTTGCAGATTCACCAGATCTTTTTGTGTAACTAAACCTAGCTTTCTGTATGGTCAGCCTGCTGCTTTTCTGGCCGTAGGCATTTATTAGTGGCTCCTTAGGCAGTAAATTGTAACATAGGGAGTCTCTATGATTTGTACCAGCGCAAAGGGAAGTTGGCAGGAAAACAAGGCAGATTCTAAAGGAGGAAACTGTTATTTGCAAGCTATCCACTTTTTATCATCCATGCTGGGGAGAAAGCAGAGAGCCTGCTTACAGTTCACTGAGTTAATTGATGTGTATTAGTTTGTGCCTTAGGACTAAGTGTATCAGCACTGCTGCTACACACCGCCTTGCTGGCCTCGGACCCCAGAGGCAAATAGAAGGTCTTGGCCTTGTCCTGCTGCTTTGGCTGGCCTGTTGGCTATGCTGCTCTGGGTGGGTGAATGCGTGCTGTGGTTAGGGAGGAAGGCTTGATTCTAAACTCAGCTGGCAAACAGTTGGTTTGCGAGCTGAATTCTGCAGCAGCTGTGCCCTCCACAAGCATTAAACACGTCTGCGCTTCCTTTTCCCTGCAGGTGCTGTCTCCTGGAGATCTTCAGACAGGTCAGTCTCAAGTAACGCCCCTCCTGCACACATGAGCTGTGACCCCAAACCACAGAACCACATATTCCCAAATACTCATGATGGAGGTTTCTGTGGTTAGGAAGAGACTGAGCTCAGGCCATCCTGACTCTCATGGTGCCTGCCTCAGACAAGTCCCTGAATCTCTGTCCACTCTTTGGCCTGCCTGGGGAATGGGATGAGCAGGCATGTCCCTGATGTCCTGGCCCTTCTCCCACTGAGATCAATGGCAAACTATGTGGTCCAAAAGCTAGGTGTGGCCTGTGGCCTGAGCGTCTGTGGGCAAATCCCTAGGATGGTCCGGAGCAGGATGTGGGAGTGAAGACATACACTCTGTGCAACCTTCTGCAAATCACATTACTTAGGTGCCTCCATTTCCCCACAAATAAAAGAGGGAATATGATACTTGCCTCCATCCCCAGAATGGTGGGGCAGGGGAGAGAATTAAATAACATTCAGTGGAGGCTGAAAAGTGGTGTAAGCACTAGGAATCACCTGCTCCCAGTAACTATGTGAGAATAGAGAGATTAGATTCTTTCATTTGCTTTGTCCTTTTCCTGTCTCTCTTCGTGAGTTATTAACACTGTCAAAGAAGAGTCCTCTCTCAATCTCTGCTTGTAAGAGTTAGCAGGAATATTCACCCTTGCAGGGAGGGAGTCAGGTAAAATGTATGGTCTCAAAGCCTGGGACCCAAACCAACTGGCAGGTAGGGAGAGAGTCCCCCGTCCTCCATAACAGTAGGGCCTCCCCTTTGGAGCATGGGTCTCAGGATCAGTTTGTTGGATCAGAACGTGCTGCAGTGTGTACATCGATGGTGTTGGCCACCATTTGAGGTGTTTAGCCTGGCAGCTGATGCACTGTGTCCCTCTCTCTCCCCGTCCACAGTTTGCATGTTCATGGAGGAGAGCAGCCTAGGCCGACAGCACTGGAGACTCAACCCAGTCTGTGGCTGCCACATTGAATTTGGTGCTGCAGGACCCAACGGCAAGGAGCGGGAAGTGGAGCTACATTGCAGTCAAGGCAGGTTCTGCGGTGCTTGGGGGTTATAGTCTCCTTTGGGTGCCTACAACATGCTATAACTCCCATTAGCATGGGGGGAGGAGAGACAGGAATGGAAGGGGTTAAAAACACAAAAGATTCATTGGAATTTGGTGTCCTCCCTCCATAAGATAGCAAGATGTGTTGGGAGAAGGAATTGCCCACTATGCTGAGGGAGGTGCCTTGTCACACTGTTAAGAAAAAGCTCTCACGGGTGACAGAATGTTGCGCTTTATCCTTTTACCTCCCCAGACCTGCCTGCAGCTATTCCAGGTGATGCCAAGGGAAGTGTCACCTCTAGTGTGGCATGAAGCCAAGAACAGTGAAGCCCTGCAGAGCATTTTGGGATCGCTGCTGCAAGTCATCTTGGGGCAGGTGATTATAATCCGAGCAGTTACCCAACGGTGGCACTGATGAGACAGCAGCCACGCTGCAGCAGTGAGTTTGAGCCTCTGTGAAGCCAGCCCAGCTGTGATTTGAGTTAGAGAAATAAGGATAATGCTTTACATGTTCAAAGCAAGTTCCACAAGTTATCAAGTTTGGCAAGTTTTAGTTTCCCCACTGTACAGTTTCTTCAGGGAAACTGAGGCAGAAAAGAGCAGGCCAGCATTTTCAAATATAGGCACCTAAACAAAAGGTGCTTGGTACACAGAGGTGCTGAATACCTGCAGCTCCCATGGAAGGAGAGCAACAACACTCAAGTTAAGCTACAGTCGAATGCAGTAATAGTGCCAGGCAGTGTTCCTTGTAAGCTGGGTACTTATGCGGCTGCTCAGGAGAGCTTCCAGTGCCACCCAGCTGATTAACAAAGTGCCCTCAGCCACGTTTTTGTTTCTATCGATGATGCACATTCATGCATACCTTGGTGCAACATAAAAAAATTATTTCACACATGGATGGAAAAGATTAGAGTCTTGTTGTCCAACCAGTTCTGGAGCAGTAACCACCCAATGTTCACTGTAGTGAACTAGCCACACTCAGCCAGCCAAATAGCCACATTGTTCATGCCAACGAGCCACACTCAACTGGCTAAATAGCCATAGTGGCTAGCGTGTTGGACACCCTGGTATTAGAGGGAATGTTGGTGTCAGTTTAGGTGACAGCTGCTGGTAATGGGTTCATGCTGTATAGCTGGAGACATTATCCTCACATCTGTACACATGAAATACACATGTTGGTGTGATGTCTGAGTAAGCGTGAATGGGGTGGAGTAATGGGAGTTGTGATGAGAAGGACCTGGTGTAACCCATGTGCTGCGAAAGTGCAGCATATCCCAGTGGCTTTATAAATGCCTTTTGAGTGTGGTGAGGAAGGGAAGGGCAGCAAGCAATGATTAAATGGTTTTCCAAAGACAAGCTTTTAAAATTCACGTTTCCTTTTCCGTTGGTGAACACTGCTGCTGAGCCAGAGAGAGGAGCCAAAGCCGTGCTGACTCTTTTCCAGCTAATCCACCAAGGTGCATGCTTGATCATTCATAATGATACTTCTTGGCATGGGACCTCACAGCACTTTCCCAAGGTGCATGGGATCACAGTTCCCTAGAGGCTATTCTGCCTGCCTAGATGAAGGAACGGGAGGAAGGCTCCAGCAAATTGTAGATATGGGGCTCTCAGACTATGGGGTGAGGTAGCACAGTAGGTTACATGCACCTTTTGCTTTTGCAGCTTGAGCCCCTCCAAATTTGGAGACAGCAGCGTTCTCTTTGAGCTCAGCAGCCACAGCCACACAGTTCAGCACCATTGGGGGAGACAGCTGAGGGAAGGCACCGATCGCCGTCTGTATGATATCAGCCATATTTCTGAGCTCTCTGCTTGCACAGGGCCTGGCTCTGGCCTGTGCTACAATTAGTACTAATGTGTGTGAAGGACTAAAGTTAATCTGGGGAAACAAAAGGCTGATTTGCTGTTGGAAAGTCAGAGTTTGGAGAAGACTTTGCTCTATCCTAACTTGGCGATTTTAACCAGGGCCAGGAGAGCTGAGATTTGGGGAACTGAAGGTGGAGACTTCTGTCCTGAGCTCAGATGGCCTAGAGAGACTGGTGCTGACTAGGGGTTTATTAACTTGCTGCAAGAAGGAGATCCTGAGCTCCCGGCTGGACAGCTTCCAACCTCAGGTTGGGTGGGAAATGCAGAGCACAAGCCAAGGGTTTAGAAAAACCTTTCACTTGTTGCTGGGTGATGGCCCAGTAAGTACTTGGGGTGGTTAGATACATGGGAGGTTGGGGGGTATTTGTTCTGGCCAAGCCAGTCCTATTACTTGAATTGAGCTGGTTTAGCCCTGGCGATTGGCAAGACCATACACTTATACCAGGTGCTGTGTTTAAATGTGGTTGTTGCCTGCAGACCCTTTATTCCCTCCCCAGCAAATCTTGGAAATCAAGCCTTGCTGTGAATGACCCTTTTAGTAACTGATATAGGCATGAAAATACCACAAGTGCCAGCTATACCACTCACTGGGAATAGAAACTAAGACTGATCCATCCAAAACCTGCTAGCCTCTATTTCTTGGGGAAAGATGTCCCTCCATCAGCTGGCAGTAACAGAATTCATCTGTGGGGCTGCTAGACAACTACCTACCCACACAATAATGGATTTCATCTGTGGTGGCCAAGAGAAGAAGAATCCTGGAAGTGTGTCAGCAACACTATATAACTCTTGCTTATGCCTGGAAGGAGCATAAAAACTATGCCTTGAAAGTATGCCCAATTCCTCCACAAAATCAAGGCCTCTAGCACTGTCTACCAGTAAGGTTGGGTGTCCTCTGATTATTGAAGGTGGTCCCACCACTGACCTTGTCTTGTGGGTTGTTAACTCTATCACCAATACTGTTGAGACCAATACTGGTTCGCCTACTGAAGCCAAGGCCTTAGCTGAATGGAGTGGGAGCATTCTGTATCAGTCAGCTGCTGCCGTATCAGCTGTAAGAAGATTCAGAGGCTCAAGAGCCAAAGGGCAAACATGCAAAAGTGTTCTTGAGGTCATGGAAAAGAGCTTTGCTGGAGGAGTTCAAGACAGAATTGAACCTGTTCAGCTAATGGGCACATGGGAAAACCTCCATGGATTTTAGCAGAGACCACCCTGGCTAAAGGCCATCTGACTCAAATTTATATAGCATCCATTGCTGCAGCAGCTCAGCCTAGCTCTGGTGATGGAAGCTTTGTCACTTGCGAGGTTTAAAATCAGACCGGAGAAAACCAACCAATCAACACCAGAAGCTGTATTCCAGGAGACTGCTGGGCACCGGCTGTGGTGAGAGGATGGTCTATTTATGACTTAATAGGCCTCTTTGAAGCTCTAGTGTTTAGGAGTCTCTTCTGTCAGCAAGAAAAGCCGACAGCACAGATACAGTGGTAGCTCAGCTGATTGATGGCTTTTGCTTAGTGCTGGTGTTTGCCCTGCAGGCTTGTCACTTGCAGGATGTGCTGTTTCCAGCTGTCTGGGCTGTGAGTGAAGAGCAGAAGGATTATCATTACTACCGTTTCCAAGGTAATAAATATTGCCTCTCCCCCATGATACAGCAAGAGAGTTTAAGAGGTTTACTTCACTCAGCTTCCTGAAGCTATTTAGGGCACCTTTATAGGGCCTAGGGATGTTCATACTAGGGATGTAAAAACTTCCCTGTTTAACATCTGGCAGTGGCTCTCCACAGCTCCGGGGGCTGCCCCAGCTCCCACTGCAGCCAGGTCCTGCCAGCTGGGCTGCCGAGGCAGGGGGCCTCCAGTTAACAGGTTAGCCAGTAAGCATGCCAATAAGGCATATGCTTACCAGTTAACCGGTTAACCTTTAACATCCCTAATTAAAACTGTTCACCACTAGCACTTAACTGGGTAATGTTTTAAATTAGGGCTTGCTGCCCATTCCCTCCATGGCCAGGGCTGTTCTGGCCGAGCATAGCTGGCTACTGCTGGAGTTCACTGGCAAGGGCTGGTTAACCAGTAAGCATATCAGTAAGTTCATGCTTACCAGTTAACGGCTTTATATCCCTAGCAGGGACAGGAATGACTAGCAGTGAATTTTCCCTTAGGCTCTGAAATTAAAGCCCAATCAAATTCTATCTGGTCCCCATAGTACATCACCCATCTTACCTAAGGCACACACTTGTCTTAACCTTGCCTTGAGCCCCTGCTGCGTAAGGTATGTTTAATGGAGAAATCCCCAGGAAAAGGTGTTCCGAAAGGCAGGCATTGATTGAGAACATGGTTGCCTGCTCTAGCTGGCAGTGGGACCTGTTTGGAAGAGCTGTGTATGGTTTTGCTGTTTGGCCCACTGGAAGAGCTATGTCCTAGTCTGCCTTGTGCTTTCAGCTTTTTCCCTCTGGCTGCAACGTATCCTGGAAAGCCTGCCTGAGATCTGGAAAGTCAAGGAGAGTCGAGTGCTGGTTGAAAACTCTGAACTGCTCCACAGACTTAACCAATTCATCTGGAACAATGCAGAGAGCCCGGTAATGTACCCAGCCTCGTGGGTGTAGCTCCAACAGGTCAGGCCTTCTTCCAGAGCAGTCAGAAAGTATCCAGACATCTCCCTTCCTTCCCAGATCCTCCCTTTCTTTCACTAGAATAAAAGTGCACAGTGCAGCCTCGCCTGATTTTAGTCTGTCTGAATTCTGCCCTTCCAGCTCACTTCATACTCCCAGTGCCCTTCTGGAATTGGGAGCAGAATCTACCCCATAGTAACATTGTCAGGTTTGCCAAGTTATGACTGATCTTGCATTATAGGACTGGTCACATTGGCATTGCCTTTTCCTCCTGACTGGTGAGACATTGTGTCAGTGCGAATGCTTGAACAATGAGAGACCTGTTGCCTTAGAGCTTGGCAAAGCCAGACTCCAATAGCCCTGCTCATACTGAGCGGTCCTGTACACAGCCTGCTGTCTCATTGGTTTCCTAAAGACAGCTTCCCATTGTCAAATACCTTTACAGAGCCATAACAGACATGCCGTGTAGCCTGTTTTACCCAACCCCATGAGGCAGTTGTGTTGTATTCCCTGTCCCTCTTGCCGGTGGTAAAAATGGAACTACTTAATGTAGGTTATAATGTATCGCAGGACAGGCAATCCCTAGTGACAGCAAAAGGAGAGTGAAGGATGTTATAAAACCCCTCTAACAATTTCTGGCAGTGACACGTGCTACATGGGATCTTTTTCAGGGGGATAAGGCAAAATGCCACATTTATTGGCAATAGATATATCAATCACTACTTTATCATATACATATGATATATCACACTCACATGCATGCACACTCACTCCGTCTTTTTGTTGTTACCAGTAGTTGCTCCCCCTAACTGCACTTGACCAGGTGAGTTAGATGCAGGAGGAGAGGAGCCGGGCTTCTGCCAATCCAGATCCATGCTCTGATGTTGACAAGACAAAACCTGGGGTCCTCCTGCAAGATACCTTAGATTTTTAGTAGCTCTCCTCCCTCTATACCAGTTAGTCATCATATGCATATGCAAAATCTGTGTCGTCATATGCATACGCAGTCAGTCATCTGCGACACCTTTTTCTGGGTCTTATTGCTACCACGTTCATCTTCAAAGACAGTGCTTCCAAAGGGAGGTGCCAGCTTCTGACTCCCCAGGCTGTCAATATGACTAATTTTGTTTCAATGAGCCCACTTGACAAGGCTTATTATCCTCAGATCTGGCTTCCATCCCCTCTCCAACTGTTGTAACTTCTCAGAGGTGCTTGCCTTTCATTCCTTATCCATTCATACCTCATTCACTCAACAGGGCAATCAACTAATCAAAAAAGGGGAGAATCTATTCTGGTACAAAAACATGACTATACTGTTATACCAAAACTTAATACAAAGTTGCTATATAAAAAGACTTAATTCGAAGTTTCTATATAAAAGGACGTAATACAAAGTTATATATGGAAACACTTAATACAAGTTTATATGAAAAGGCTTAATACAAAGTCATGAAAATGATACAAGTTATATGAAGATGTTTAATATAGAGGTTTATCTACACATAATGGAGTCTCTCTTCTTAGCTTTGTTTCTCTTCTGATTTTTCAGGTGGAAGGAGCATCAGAGTTTATACATAGCTCCTTTAAACATCTCCTGGAGATCTATCACCTGGAGTGCCATCACTTTGAAGACCTGGAGAGACCCCTCTATGACAAGTTCCTGCAGAGAATTATTACAATGCCCTGGCAGGTCAAAGCCCGATATTTTCCACTGTGCGCCATTCTTCCCTACGTGGGCACAGAGAAAGTAAGGACACAAGACATGTAATATGTGGATGTGATGAGTGAGCGATGCCCACTGAGGGACCGGTACATGTGCCAGTCACAGCTAAGAGAAGACTGGAGAGCATGATGTGGATGTCAAAACATCCCACAAAGGCTAGATGAAAACCAGACATACCCGAACCTGGAATACCCACTGCTGTAAGAAAGTAGGGGCATATGGGTGTACACTATGGGCTCATCTAGACTACAGAGAACAGTTGAAAGAAAGGTTTTCGGTGAACCTTCCCCCCCCCTTTGTCGAAAAGCTGCATAAACCTCCTTTTTTGAGAAAGAGCGGCTTTTTGACTAAGAGGGCGGTTCGCAAAAAAGCTGTGTCTTAATTACTCTGGTAAGCTGCGTCTTAAAAAGCTCTGCTTTCAAAAGTGTGATCAGAAGAAGATATGCAAATTCCTGGGGAATTTGCATATCTTCTTTCGATTGTTCCCTGTAGTCTAGATAAGCCCTAACGGTTGAGAATCTGCATAGAGAGCTTGAACTTGGATAACTTGGGTCTTCTTGCAGCCAACATCAAAATCATAATGAGATTGGTAGCATGAGTACTCTGCACACCAGTGGATGGGATGCAGGTTGTTCTGGCATGGATCATAGGCCCTGTCCAGCTAATAGAGAATCTCTTCTGGTTCAAGTGCTAGCAGCCTATATTTTTGTTATTGCTCGGTGAGACCTTGTGTGTCCTCCTCTCTTACACACTGGCAGAAAGACAGAGATCTAACCAGTTCTTAACCATGGCTCCTATCGCTCCCAAGATCCACCACTAGGAGGGGCTTAGTGGCCCAAACTATTGCCTCCAGGGGATCCAATAACCACATTGTACCCCTTGGCAAGTGGATGGGAGGCCTGTACCACTCTCCCTGGAGTGGTGGGGCCTTGGGTGGGTGGGGCCAAAGCAGCCTGCCCTCTGTGCTGCCCAGAGCATGTCATGCCACCCCCACCAGCCCTTAAAGCTGTCCTGAAAAGGCTGCCTGGTACTCCAGCAGTGATTTAAAGAGTCTAGGGTTGAGCCCAGGGGCAGCTGTCCTCTCCTTTCCCTGCCCCCAACTGCCCCTCCTACCAGTCACTTCCTTTCTGGGTGCTAAGACACATCAAAGTAGAGTTCCTTTTCCTGCCCCACGGGGGTCTCAGGTGGACAGAATACTTTCTTTGATTTGGGTTCCTCAGGGGAGTCTTATATTTTTAACCCAGTATTGCAGTTAGCATGTTCTCACTGTCTCTGAGGAGAACAGAAACAATACATCAAATGCGATAGATGGCTCATGGAAATTAGGGTTGGGATATGTAGCCTTTGACCACTGGGTCGCTGATTTGAATCTAGGCACTGATTACCGTGGTATTTCAGCGTTGTGCACTGCAAATACCCTGCTCGATCTTGATAGGGCCCCCCACTTCCATGCAGTTAAACAGGCTCCTCCTGCTGGTCAAGGCCTCTTAGGTGGGGAAGGCTGCTCTTTCTCCACGGTCCAGTGCAGTCTTTATTTTAGCTGCCTACTAAAATGAGTGAGGCTTGTGCATGTGTTTCCTTGGTGTGTCAGGAGAGTTTAGGGGCTGCCTAAAGCAAACAAGGACTTGAAAGTGATTTGTGGTTTTCTAGGTTCTGAATACCTACAAGGATCTTCCCCAGCATCTTCTGAACTGCCTTGCCACTAACCATCTGTGCCCAGCTGCATCAGACATGTACAAAACCATTTTGCAACAGCAACGCAGACACTGGGTTGAGGGAGACAAACGAGCCACCGAGGAGAAGCTGGCTCAGAAGTGGGCGCTGCAGTGGCTTCCCACCTTGACCACTGCTTTGACCTCTCCCATCACCTTCCTTCAGAGTAATGCTTCCAACTACCTTCTTGTGTGGACTTTGCGGCTCTTCCCTGCCTCTTACGCTTGGCTTGCTGAGAGCTGCTTTGGTAGGGACTCTGCTCACCTTCGGGCATGGGTCGCCCTGTTGAACAGCCACAAGATCATCACCGGAGCCTTGTCCCTTGACGCGGAAACTTTGGAAAGGCTCTCCTGCTGCTTGCACTCCAGGGAGGAGAACATTCGCCTAGCAGCACTGGGTCTCCTGTGTTGCAGCCCCAGGACCAACCAGCCCTTGTCAGAGGTGGAGATCCGGCTGCTGAAGGAGTTCTTGCCACTGAACCTGAACTGTGATTCATCTTCCTTCCGGCAGCTGCTTCAGGCTGCAGTGAAGAAGGCTCTAGTCAGGCTGAGGGACAGCTCGCTGTCTCAGTTGCGCTGCAAAATGCAGAGCAAAGCCACCGAGTGCTCGGCCAGTGCGGATGCAGAAGGAGCACTCGCACAAGCAGTAGGTGAGTGAGCCATTCCTGACCTCTCACTCCCAGCCTTTTATCCCCATGGCTCCCACCTCTGCTTGACTTTTCATCTCTTCTCACCTCAGTGGCCCCCAGGAATCAGGTTTTCACATACAAACTCATCACCAAACGCTGCTCTTTTGTGGCCCATTGATCTGGGAGGTGTGTAGGGAGCTCTGGTGGGTTGTGCAAATGGGTCAGGACAGTGGGTGGGGCAATTTGGAACTTTAATGGGAGTTCTGTTTTGTTTGCACCGGGCCTTGTGATTTCACAGCGATGTGCCAGGGCCGCTCCTTTCTGAACTCCACTCCTGCTGTTGCTGAGCCAGCCAGTGGGTGCATAACTGTGTAGGTTAAGCCTTGGACTTAAGCGACCTGGGTTTTATTCCTGGTTCTGCCCCAGGACAGACAGACAAGTCACTTCATTGTTCTGTGCCACTTTTTCCCCATCTGTAAACATAAAAAGCACTTTAAGAAGTGCTATATAAGAGAGAGGTGGTGGCAGTATTGAACAGGCTTGGGTGACAGGACATTTTGGTATGCCTGGCCCAAAACCAAATGGTGTTTGAATATGTTTGCATGCCCAGAAACAAAGTTCCTTTTTACAGATGTCTAGTCAGGGGGAACTTCCTCTGAACATAACAAAACAGACGTGAAACTTACAAGTGGGTTTTCCGTTACTCAGGCTGAGCAATCATTAAGAGTGAAAAGCAGATTTTAAATGGAAAAAAAAATCCTCAATGGATTTAATCCAAGGCACAAGGAACTGTCTAACATGTATGTTAGTGCTCTCCAGGGCTAGAAAACAAAGATACCAGTTGGGTATCACAAGGCAGGCACAGCTGACAGCCTTTCCTTTCGCTGCATTGTCTTTTGGAGCAGGGTCCAAGGGTTGTCATTAAGTGCCAAATAACCATTCGACGCTGAGAAGCCCCTAACGGAGCCACCTAGTTTTCCACATGATAGTCAATCTAATGTAACTGGAGATGGAGCACCCTCATCTTCCAAAGGGCTGACCCTGCCTTCCCTTTGTGCATTGCTCACAAGTAACCCAGAGGTGCTTTTTTGCAGATTTTGTGGAGTGGCTGGGGCAGTTAAGCGTTTCCTTTCTGACCCCAGGGTCAAACTACCAGCGGAAGAAGACTGCCTTGCTGCTCCTGGCTGCAGTGCTGGAAACCTGCACAGATACCTGGAGCCCTGCCAGGAAGAAGGGGCAGCCTCCACGTGGGTATCAGCAGGCCAGCCCTGCATGGAATGAGCTCTGTGCTGATTTGAATATCGCCTCCCCCCCAACTCACTGTCTGCTTCTCATCCCCCTCAGCAGGGGGTCCATTTTTAACTGCCCTCATCCAATGGCCTCTCCATGCCACAGGAAGTTGTAGTGATTTGGGGGCATGCCTCTCAAATCCAGAAAAATATCCTGCAGCTTTTTACAGATAACCTTCACCTGCATTCTTTGGCCCTCAGCTCTCAGAGCCAATGATGAGTCTAGGTTGCTGGAGGGGTGGGATGGGAAGAAAAAAAAATCAGGAGCCCCTAATGCGCTGAGAAATTTGGGGGACCTGTCCTATGAGTAGGGTCCTTCCAAACTCATGATCTGTTTTGGCCAAGTTCACAGTCATGGGATCTTAAAAATAATAAATGTTGTTATTCCAGCTATTTAAATGTGAAATGTCACAGCATTGTAATTGTAGGGGTCCTAGCCCAAAAAGGAGTTGGTGATAGTCTCAAGGGGTATGTCTACACTGCCACCCTAATTTGAACTACAGGCATTTAAAAATGCAGGCGGAATAACGGTAGTTCGAATTAGGAGCTTTAATTCGAACTACCTAGTCCGTGCCACGTGTAGCTGTGGGCAGGTAGTTCGAACTACAGACATTTAAAAATGGCACCCGCCCGGGAACATGAAAATGAAGCCCGGGATATTTAAATCCCGGGCTTCATTTGAAAGTTTGAATGCCTACATTAGCCACCCTAGTTCAAACTAGGGTGGCAGGGTAGACATACCCAAAGTTATCATAGGGGAGTTGCAGTACTGCTACCCTTATTTCTGCACTGCTGCTGGTGGTGGCACTGTCTTCAGAGCTGAGAAGCTGGAGAGCAGCAGTTGCTGTCTGGGAGACCAGCTCTCAAGGCAGACCTGCTGTCAGCAGCAGCAGAGAAGTAAGTAGGGTATGATATTGCCACCCTTCTGCACTACTGCTGGCTGGGCGCTGCCTTCAGAGCCACTGCTCTCCAGCCGCCCAACTCCAAAGGCTGTGAAGAAATAAAGGTGACAATAACACAACCCCCTTAAAGCAATTTTGTGACCCTTCTGCAACTCACTTTTGAGTTAGGATCTCCAATTTGAGATACACTGGTCACCCCCATGAGGAAAAAGCATAAAAAAAAGACAAGATTTCACTGTTTGTGACGTGTTTTTCTTAGCAATGAATTTGATAGGGCCTTACCTATGATAAGCTCATGTGTGAGAGATGATATAATGGCCCAGTCAAATCTTTACCCACCCAAAGGCTCATTTGATACAAGGTAGTTTGCAGCCTCCAGCCCAATTGACGTCTATCTTTTCCTGTAGTTGCTCTTATCTTTTCTTGGTCTACATGTTAATTCCCTCCTATGGGCAATCAGTCTGGCAGGGAGTTTCTGAACTGCTAGTTGGTTGTCTGCTCCTGTGAGACGCTAAAACCAGTGCCTACCATTTCACAGCATATGTAGATTTGCACAAAACCCTTTGTTTTCTAGACCAAATAGGCTAAATAAGATGCAAATTAATCTTTGCTCTTATCTTTTCTTGGTCTACATGTTAATTCCCTCCTATGGGCAATCAGTCTGGCAGGGAGTTTCTGAACTGCTAGTTGGTTGTCTGCTCCTGTGAGACGCTAAAACCAGTGCCTACCATTTCACAGCATATGTAGATTTGCACAAAACCCTTTGTTTTCTAGACCAAATAGGCTAAATAAGATGCAAATTAATCTGTCTGGTCCAAGTAGGGTCTGGATTGTACCAGAGAGAGGTGCGGTGTCCCACCAAATCCGCACCCCTGGTTGAGATATTACTCAGGTGCATTACTTGTACAGGAGAAAAATGCTTGCTACTCCCTTTCGCTTGAGGTCAGCCCTGACATCACTTACTGCCTACATCTCACCGTCCTGTCTTTCTGTCCCCTCAGAGAACATGGCAGCTTTGCTGAGCTGGGCCTGGCAGAAGGGCTACTGGGATTTTTTCTCTAGAAGCAACTTGTTGGCACTGCTGAGCTGCTTGCAGGACAGCACAAATGAGGTAAGCAGCCCGCTAGGCCCACTACTGCCACAACTCTGTTCTGAGGACAGCTGGAATTGTAACACATGCTGCTTGGCTTGATCAGCAGCGGGGGCCTGTTTAACTGAATAGAAGCAGGGGGCCTTATCAGGATCAGACTGGGACAGTGCTGGGGACACTGTCCCCCTCAGTAAAGAGCCAGACCTGGCTGCAAGTTTTCCTGGCCTGAATGGGTCCCATTGGCTGTGGGCTCCTGAGTGTCCTGCTCCCCATATTCCCTCTGCTTCCTCATGTAACTTGCCCCCCCCTTTCCACCCCTTTCTCTTGGCAGGTCCGAGATCTGGCATCAGAGCTTCTCATCCATTACTTCCCACCGACTTTCCCAGAACCCATTGCTGTGGCTCTGTTTGAGCATGCCCAGGAGGCTGTAAGCAGCCCTAGAGTGCAGGAGGCAGAAGCAGGAGCAGTGTTGATGAAAACCATCCTACAGAAGTACTGACTGACTCGTCTCTTTCCATTTCACTTTAGAGATGTCTTGGACAGGGGACATGTGAGGAGACCCTATATAGGTTGAACCTCTCTAGTCCAGCATTCTCTGCTCCGGCAATATCCATGGTCCAGCATGATTTTAAATTTTCCAAATGTCCATTTTTGCCAAGTTCATAGTCCCATAAAGTTTGTTTACAGCCACTAATCCTGGTTCTTAGTGTTCCGTGCTTTTGTTTAGCTCTAATATATACCCAATGTCTTCTAAGAACCCAGTAAGTTGTGGAAATGTTGGTAATACTGCTATAATATTGATCTCCTGTTGTTTGGAAAATTCTCTTGTTCGGCACTGGCCAGGTCCCAGGGGTGCTGGACTAAAGAAGTTCAATCTGTAGGTTGTATATATTCCTGTCTGTCCACATGCACAGCTCATTGCAACTTTTCTTATCTGATGCCTGATTCCAACAAGTTTGATATCACTTACATAGTGCTCCAATGCCTTTCCAGTTACCATGAGCTCAGACTCTGACAGGGCATCGACATTCAGCCGTTTGTTTAATCCTTTGCCCCTGTGATCACAAGGACAGATCCTCAAGCCAAATATTGTCTGAAGTGTCTAATTTCCCACCAGAAATAGAACAGATTTTTGATTTTGGTCTCAGCACTTCAAGATACTTCTCCCTCCCCACACACACACTCCCCAAGGAAATAGATTTTTCCTTCTCCCTTTTGGAACAATACTGACATCTGCCTTAGAATTAAGGGTATAACGATAAAAAAGTAGCTATAAAGTGAGAATAGTGATATTTCTTACTATTCGGAAAGGGTATTTATAATTCACCTTAGAACTGGAGGCCAGACAGCAGCAGACTTTGATCTGAAGTAGTCATATAAAATTGGAATGGGATGGTCCTTTGTATAGCCATAGGTTTAGAGGTAGCCATGGTAGCCTGTTTCAGCAAAAAAACAAGGAGTCCGGTGATACCTTTTGACTAACAATTTTTTTATAGCATAAGCTTTTGTGAGTAAAATGGTTAGTCTTTAAGGTGCCCCTGGACTCCTTGTTATTAGATGGCTGTAATAAAGGAGGCCTCTGGCCCATTGCGATGAGGATTGTCACTGTGCTGATTAGGTAAGGGCTCCCTCTGAGGGTTTTCGATGGTGTTAGCTTCCCTCCTCTTTTTCCAGGTCAGACAGCAACACTTTGAAAAGAATATTCCCAGAAGGAGAAGCAGCGCCAACTCTGCAGCACCGTGGCCTGTGCTTTGCTCGGTATCTTCTCCGCATGTTGCAGGCTCACTACACCATGGCTTGTCAAGACCTGCTGCAGGCAGCGAGCACTAACCCAATGCACGGTGCGTCCCTGGGTGTCGTGGGAATGGACACATCTGAGGTCTCATGTGCCTTCTCTCCCTCGCAGTCCTGTCACACTATGTTCCATGTGATGGATCAGGTCTGGGATTCAGCAAATCATGCTGGCAGTAGCTGGCCTGAGCACTGCACAGATGTGAAAAGCTGTTCCCTGATGTGAAAAGCTGTTCCCTGAGGCCTTGGGCACGTGGCTTCACCTTTCTGCCCATGTCCCCATCTGGGCCACGTAGGCCTAGTGATGGCTGGTGAGTGTTTTGAGAAGAACATTTTAGGTGAAACAGGCTATGGCAGTGGGATCTGGCTGCCGAATGGAGAGCTGTGGTGTTGGCTACTTATCCGTGGCACTTTTCAGCTGCTCAGAGTTGCCTGTCTATTGACATTTCCCTGCTCTTGTAGCCTGCACAGCAGGAGGATTCTTCCTCACGTCCCAAACGTAAGCAGCATTTCTGCACTGTGTGGATATTATCCACGGACAGTGCGTCTGTGCCACAGGCTGCTTCTAGCTCTCACTGACTTCACTGTCCCAGCTTTTTTGGGGGAGTGTAAAGGAGGGGCACATGCAAGTGTCTTGCTCGGTGATAACTGGAATGTTACCTGTGTAGGAGTGATGGTGGCGCTGCGGCGGTGCCTGCTTGAGGTGCCGGAAGGGGCAGTCTCCATGCTGAAGGGAGAGCACGTGCAGAGCTGGCAGGAGCTCCTCAGAAGTTTGGTGATGCTGCTGGGAGACATCAGCACCTTTCTCTTGGGGGTGCTGCAGAACAGACGGGGGCCCAATGCCAGCCAGCAAGGTGAGTGAGGAAGGGTTAGCAGAGTGTACAGCCAGTACCCAGCCTGCACCATAGGCCTGGTGGCAGGACCGTCTCAAGTAGGGCATGAGGCCTGGAGCAACCCTCTTCCTCCTGCTGCAGCCCGTACTCCACCCAAACCCTACCCTGCTCCACCCCTGCTATACCCCAGGGGATTATAGGAGGCCTGGTGCAACAGTAGCAGAGGCTGCCCCCTCACCTCACCACACAGATGTTGGAAGCCGGAGCAGCCCACCCTCACCCGCTGCAGCCTGCTTCTCTGCAGGCCCCCAAATGCACGAGGCCTGGGGTGGCCATCCCAATGTATCCTCTGGATGGGACAACTCTGCCTGGCGCTTCCAGCACTGTTGCGTCATGTCCTTTTAGCTACAAGTGCCTTCATCATGTGCCAAGAGCTCTTAAATTGTGGATTAGAGAGAGCTGGCTGGTCACTGATTGTCTTGTTTCCAGCTGCCTCTGCAGCCCTCCAGGCTATTCTTTCCCAAGAGCAGAGTGGAGGCTGGTGAAAACCAGCTGCTTCCTTTTGTTTCCACCTCACTGTCTCTAAAAGCGGCTGCTGTTACCTCAGAAGAGGGAAGGAGTGGCCAAGGGGAGGAGGAATGCCCAGGGAAACCAAGCCAAGGGTGAAAGGAGGCAGTGTGTCTAACACAGAGATGGGCAGCCTCGGCTAGTGAGCGGGCTGCGTGCTTGGGTGCCTAGAATTTGCGGGGTATGCCGACTGAACCGTAGCAGCGCTGCAATTGGATGCATAGGGACCGTATGGCTCTAACAGTCAATGTTGTGTGCAGCCAGCATGCACCTCACTTCACCTGCCCTTGGTGTATGGGCATATCACTTTAGTAATACCGGTCAGAAAAAAACCTTTGCAAATAGAAACCAGCAGAATCTGGCAACCCTGCACCGGGGAAGCAGTCAACAAAATGTCTCATGGACTACACATAGAATCCCAATGGGCTGCATGTGGCCCCTAGGCACAGGTTGCCCACCAGCTGGTCTAACAGAAGAGGCTTGGGTAGCCAGACAGAATGGCCAGGGCATCAAGGATCAAGTTAACCACGTGACAGTGGGTAAGGGCCACAGGTGGTGGAGAACAATGAGCAAGAGGAGAGAACAACAGACCAGAGGACTGGGGAAGAGTGAAATAAAGGGCACAAGAAAACAACAGTTGTCTTTAAATAGCCGCTTTTCTTCTTAAAGTCAATGGAAACTTGCATAGACTACTGCAGTCACAATGGGAAAGTTGGGAAGGTGTGTTTGCAGGGGGAAAGAGATTCACATCACAACCTCTCTTCGGCTGTTGGCCCCGTTGTGGATGTTTGAGAATCTGTCACACACAGACACACGCACTCACCCTTCACAAATCAGATTAGGGACCTGATCCTGCTCTTAGAGTTAGACCTCAGGTGTCCATCTACTTTTGTAAGGCCATGTCCCATCCCCTTTCTGCTGGATTGCACACCTGCAGCTGGCATGGCTCTAACTCCCTGAGTGCCGTCACCTACGCTGTGACTAAAAGGAAAGCTGCCCTCTGCTTGTTTCTTGCAGCTGCTGCACCTTCATTTGCAGACATGGGAAATGCTATTGGCTCCCTTATCATGCTGGGAAAAGGCCTGGAGCAGCAGGATGAAGCAGACTCAGTCCTGCTGTCAGAGGAGCACAACCTTATCCTGACCTGCTGTTGGGTCTCAGTGAAGGTAAAGAGCTTCTGTAAGTGGTGGGAAGGGAGCAGAGATCCTGCTAGTAGAGCTCTGTCATCAAGAGGCTTGGGCCAGAGGAGCTGGTCAGGATGGACACCATTAGTTTGGGCAGCAGGGGGAAGTACACAAGATACACTCCCCTTTCCTGTGTGTGACTCTAGCCAAGTGCGCTAGGTGAATTGGTCCATCTGCCAAAGAAAACCCAGGCAATTTAAGGTGTTTTTTAAAACAAAGAATTCTGTTTATAGCTTGCCTGAAACCCGGTGCTAGAGTTTCCCCTCTTCACCATCAGGGCAAACGAAAAGGGCCCATTTCCCAGGCCTCAGGGTTTCATGCTGACAATCAGATTTCTTCTGCCTTCTGTTAGATAAATAAGGGTGTGTTTACACTTTGACACTATTTGAGGATACTTCCAGTATCCAGAAATAGTGCTTCCCGCATCTTGGCAGTGCTTTCGAAATAGCTTTCAAAATAATGGAGGTCCTGGCTATTCCGAGGTCCCTGTAAAACTCATTCCGCAAGGATTAAAGGATGTTTGGAATATCGCTCTATTTTGAAATTTGGTGCTGTGTAGACAGTGCCAAATTTCGAAATAAGCTATTTAGAAATAAACTTGAAATAAGCTACCCAATTTGCATAGCTCAAATTGAATAGCTTATTTCGAGGTAAGGGTGCAGTGTAGATGCAGCCTAACAGGTCCACGTTCCTTTACCCAGGGTTAAACACAAGCCAGAACAAACTCATGGTTGGTGTGGACAGACCCGACTCCTCTTGGCATGGCTCTCTAGTCGTTACTGCCGCATTGTCATTACAGCCTCCTGCTTTTTGTTGGGTTCCTGGGACACTAATGAGCTCCTGCTGCTTCCAGGCTTACCCCTTTACCCTGGCCTCCCAGCCCCGACCCTGACTCCTGCTTCACTTGTGCTATGAATCCCTTTCTGTATCATCTTGTGATTGGATGGCTTTTTAAATGGGGAAGGTCCTTCCAAGCATTTTCTGCTCTTGGCTAGTAAGCTACAGCACCATGGAGCCATTGTAACAATCTACCAGCTGTTGGTATCACTAAGGCTTCTGGGTAATTCTCTATAATCTCTTGCCCAAATCCGTAGTGCTGTTTAGGCACCTAACTTCCATTGATTTAATTGAAAAGCAGGAGCCTAAGTTCCACTGATGGCCTAGATGAAGATACTTAAACTAATGATGAGACTGCTGCTGAGTCCTTTTGTTACAGGAAACATGGCAGGACAGAAGCTCTGGCTGCAGTAGAACTAGCCCTGTGACAGGTAGTGATGATTTGATTCAGTGGATCAGTCACTTGCTGAGTTTTGACTCCTGTACAGCAGGGCTACAGTTGAATCAATCTACGCAACTTTAGCTACATCAGTTGCATAGCTGAAGTCGAAATAGCTTAACTCAGCTTTAGGTGCTGTCTACACAGCAGGAGGTCGAAGGAAGAACCCTCTTCCTTCAACTTCCCTTACTCCTTGTAAAATCACGGTTACCATGAGTCATAGTAAGAAGTCCTCCAGCCTGACATTATTTTGAAATAAAGGCTTGTAGTGTAGACATGCACTATGTTATTTCAGAATAACATCAGTTATTCCGAAATAACACTACTGTGTAGACATACCCTGAGGGGTTTGGCTGTCAGGATCAGCTAATAAATTATTTCTTTTACTGACTTGCATGTTTGGAAAGGCAGGAAAGAGTTTTGTGTCTTACTGCATTACACTTGGCTGCCAGGCCAGTAAAAAATTGTAAACAGCTTGAGAGAGCATCAGTTAGAGCCGTATTTCTTCACCACCTTGCTCTTCACCTTCCAGGCCCTCTTGAACATTTGCTTTAATTAGCCCCTTCTGTTCCCTGTCCACTTCTGCTTTCTTGTGCCACACTTCAGCTTTACAAAGTCCGATGGCTTTGTTCTAGCCATCTCCCCTCCTTTCTCCATACATTATTAAATTCAGCTTCTCAAGGCAGGAACCTTGGCTTCTTACATTAGTCTGCAAAGCACTATTCTTAGCTATTGCCCTTTAACAATAATAAACAAAAACCGGATTGATTTGCGGAGGCATGAAAATACCTCCCAGAATTTGCTGCGTCCTTTCATGACAGTGCCTGGCTGCCCTCTTGTGTGTCTGATTTGGGAATTGCAATCCTGGATACTCCCAAACAGCAATGATCAAGGGGATGGGCTAATCAGGGACCTGCTCTTACTCTCACTGATCAGTGGGAGTTTTTGCCAGGAGTTTCAGTGGCAGCAGGATCAAACCTGGCTCCACTTCATCCTCGTAGGAGACTATGGAGGAACAGATTCCCCACCTTACTGAAGCATTGAATAGGAGTGGGGCAAAGACAAAGAAAACGTTCCAGGGACTCCTCAGTTCCAGGGACTCCTCAGGGAAACTGAGCTGAGGTACATCTGCCGGGCACCATGTGCTCTCAGCGTTGTAAAGAACCCTGGCTCGCAGTCAGGGCACCCTCGCTAGTGCCCAGAAGGAGAGAGGCCGTGTCCGCTCGGTGGGGCCCCGCTCTCGCGCCTGACTTGGCTTTTCTTTGTTCCCCGCAGGAAATCGGGCTGCTCTTGGGAGGGCTGGTGGAGAAGATGCTCCCTCTAGCACCCCCTGCAGGGCTCGAGCAGGGCGAGAGTGTTTCAGGAAGTGCTGCTGAAGTGCCGGCACTGGGTAAGAACCTGCCCAGATGTGCCACACCCTCTGCCCCCCTCTCTGGCCTGAAGAGGGACTTCCCTCCTCAGTGGCCCAGAGCCCACGGCAGTTCCCCCCATTTGTCAGATCCCTGGCTCAGATTCTGCTGAGCACATGAAGCAGGGAATGGGGCGACTGGGGACTTACAGCAAAGGAAAGCTCCAGCTGGACATTGCTCAGGATATTTTCCCTCCTGAGTGTGGGATCTGCCCCGCACGATACTTCCTCATTGAATCATTACAAAGGCCAATTCCTGGCCAAGAACAGTGGAGGGCTCCCTTTGGAGCCACCCATTACTGCTGTGGACAGTGCCAGTGACCACAGATCAGCGTCCAACTTCCCCCGCTTCCTTCTCCTGATCCATCTTCCTTGTGTTCCAGCAGTCAGCCTCTTAGGGTGGTCTCTGGGGTGGTGTCGTTGTTTCTTGGCGAATGCTTTGGGCTCTGTCCATCAGCCTCTGGGGCACATGTCCCATGGAGCAACATGGGGCTAGCCACACACAATGGGGCAATCCTCTGCATTGAGCCTGCTAAAGAATTCTTGGTTTGAAATGTCTGGTAACCCCAGTGGGGCTTTGACGTATCATGTCAGACAACTGAGTGGTTTGACTGTCCCATCTGAATGCACACAGTGAGGAGCAGAGATTCATAAGTAGCTACACCCACAAAAATGCAACTTCTCTGCTCTGTGAAGATCCTCCAGGTTGATGTTTTATCGCATAGGCCAGGAGTTTTGAGTCAAGCGTGGGATTGTGAGTTAATAGCTACCGCAGCTTTGACCAAGTCATTATACTTATCTGTTTCTGCTTCCCCATCGTAAAAGAAGGCTAATGTCCAGGGGCGGATATAGGGCAGGGCGAACAGGGCGGCCACCCCGGGCCCCGCGCTTCAAGAAGCCCCACGCATGCGCCATGGCAAAGGGGGGCCCCGTGAAATTGTGCTGCCCTGGATCCCGCAAAATGGTCATCTGCCCCTGCTAATGTCTCCCTCATGGGGCTGCCGTGTGGGTTGATTAGCTAGCAGGTGGAAAGCCCTTTGAACCTTCAGAGCCTTATGTATTCTTCTGTCCTAGGGAGCAGTTGAAGGTTGCAGCATGGGATTCACCAAATTTTGCACTGCTTTGCTGAACCACCCTCATCCAGAATTGCAAGCAATGCCGAGAACTATGCTGGCAGAGGTACTGCAGCCATGTCTTGCTCAAACCACTGCAGGGAGATGGTCATTCAGTTAAAAGGAAACAAATGTCTCTGAATATGTGGTGTCCCTCCTCTAGTTTTTTTGGTACCTGTTACTTATATTACAGAGGAGTCCAAAGATATCAGTTATGACCAAGGCATTAAGATGTATTCAAATACAGAAAAACTCAGTCCCCTTCCCTAAGGAGATACAAACTGATCAACACTTCCATCAGTTAGGAGTTCTTATTGACCTCTGACCATTCACTCATGTGTTGCTCTGAGCACACAACCACGTGTGTTGCTTTTAGAGGTTTAGAACAGATGTAAATTTAAGGACCAAAGCTCATTGCTATACTCCCCCTAGCCTCTTGCTTGAGAATCCAGAGATTTGAGAATCCCTTTTACTACATTGAATCTCTCTTCCCAAATCAGCCTACAGCCAACCAAACTAAGCAGGATGCCTTTTGGATCTTGCCCTCCCCACTTGCCCTGTTAAGTTCACATGTACCAACCCAATTTCACTCCCAGCACCTACCATAGGGAAAACATGGGCACTGGATGTTTAGCAGTAGTGTGAGCACTGGCCAGGGAGCTAGGAGCTCCTGAGCTGCAGTCCCAGTCTGCAAGGTGTAATCTCTCAATCACATACAGTTTCCGGGGCTACGAGGTGTTCAGTTACCTTCCTGACTGGTTTTGTTTAAATGATTAGGGGTTTGGAATGGGTCCCATATGAAGAGAGGTTAAAGCGACTAGGACTTTTCAGTTTAGAAAAGAGGAGACTGAGGGGGGATATGATAGAGGTCTATAAAATCATGAGTGGTGTGGAGAGAGCAGATAAAGAAAAGTTATTTATTAGTTCCCAAAATAGAAGAACTAGAGGACACCAAATGAAATTAATGGGTAGCAGATTTAAAACTAATATGTAGTCAACCTGTGGAACTCCTTGCCAGAGGAGGCTGTGAAGGCTAGGACTCTAACAGAGTTTAAAGAGAAGCTAGATAATTTCATGGAGGTTAGGTCCATAAAAGGCTATTAGCCAGGGGATAGAAATGGTGTCCCTGGCCTCTGTTTGTCAGAGACTGGAGAAGGATGGCAGGAGACAAATTGCTTGATCATTTTCTTCGGTTCACCCTCCATGGGGCACTTGGCACTGGCCACTGTCTGTAGACAGGCTACTGGGCTAGATGGACCTTTGGTCTGACCCAGTACGGCCGTTCTTATGTATGTTCTTATGTTTCTCAGGGTTTGGAACTGTTAAGTGGTCCCAGGAGCAGCTCTATTACCCGCAGGGCAGCTGGCTTCCCCATGCTTTTCTTATGCATCGTTGTTGGGGAGGATGCCGCCAAGTCACGCCCTCTGCTAGCGCATTGCATCCAGACTTTGCTGGCCTTGGCCAACACACCTCTGCCACAGAACTGGGACCAGACCTTGGACCTCCCTCAGGTAAGAGGCCTGAGAACAGAGAGGTTCAGCTCGTGTGTGAATGGATGACAGCAGCAGAGACCTGCCTTTCAGCTGCATTGGTTAGCCAGGAGGGCTGCTTCCTGAGTCCCACCCACTGGTACTGCTGCTTGAGGACTCCTTCCTCGGAACAGGGCAGGAGTCACTGTGCAGACTGCAGTGCAAGCTGTCAGAGGAGACAAACCACTGGTGGCCACCATAGGCATCTTGCTGGTTTTCACTAGTAGGGCTGTTTGCCGAAGTGTCACACCCACTTAGTTTTCCCTGGTCATTCCTTTTGCTGCCCTGAACTATTGCCTGGTGCTCACTGTGTCATCACCCCCACCTAGAAGTGACTTGTGTGCATTCCATGTATACATCAAGCCCCATTGCAATGAAATCTGCTCTATGAAGGGAAGATGATTGGGTTACTTCTGGAGAGAGGAACCCAGAGTTGCAAGGCACCTCACTACCACCTACCCTTAGCGTGAGGAAGCCAGTTAACAAATTCCGTTAGCCACAGGCAACACAAGCACTGCCCCCTCCACATAGCCAGGCTCCACTGTCTCTTTCCAGGTAAGGAATAGGCACACATCAGCCCCCAAGCCTTCTGGGCAGCCCCCATAAGAGTCCTGTATTCTAGTGCATGCTCCCTGCATTCCCAGATCCACTATTCCCAAGGGAGCAGCACGCACCAGCTACATCTCAGAACAAATGGTTGCGTATGAAATAAAATCATAATATGCTTTCTAGAGCCTAAACTTGACAAGCTATTCTTCTGTCTCATACAGGTTAAAAACAATGAGGCACCCTGTAGCACCTTAAAGACTAACAGATTTATTTCAACATAAGCTTTCATGAGTCAAAACCACTTCATCAGATGCATGTCTTCATGTTTTCACCAATACAGACTAACACAGCTACCCTTCTGAGACTTGTCATAAAGTTTACTCACCCAATGTCTCTCCTGTCACATCAGACAACCAGATAAGCTGAGAGTCATAAGACAAGCCAGCTGGCAGCTTATCTTCTCAGTAACAAATATCTGGGCGCACTATAGTATCCCCAGATATAGCTCCAGCCATCCACTGTCATAGCTTGTCCTCCAAGCAGGGTACCTCGTGCTGCTTGTTTTTCCTGCAGAGAATCTCCCATGGAGGCTGCACAATCTCTTGATTAGCACTGTGGTCAGTCTGTAAACAGACAGCTATTGTGAAATATTCAATACTCAATTTACATATAGCCAGACAGATGGATAAGTATCTCCTACCTGAAAGAAACCTGTTTATCACTTCTTTGTGCCCAACCTGCAACCCACAGACTTTAAGAGCATAACTCCTTACATATTATGTGTTTGTGTGTATACACACTTGGACTCATACTTCCTTACATATTATGGGTACATACGCTTCACAATCAGTGTGATATAGGCTTTCAGTAGAGTCCTTACAAGACACCCTTTGATGAATGATTACATTGAGACCAAACCCAAGAAACCTTGTAATCCGTCTGCCCCTCTGTCTTCTGCCAGAGAACACCAAGAAGTCCCTGGGCCACAGTGATCTTTGTGGTGTGTTCTCCACAGGTCTCTGCGTTGCATGTGCTGCAGACACTGGTGCGTGGCTCTGGCCTAGGAACAGCGCTGCTACAGTATGTCACGCCTATGATGGCTTTGCTCCTGAAGGCACTAGGTTCGCCTAGCTGGGCCATGAGAAATGCGGCCATCCAGCTCTTCAGTGAGTAACAGCATCTTATTCCTAGCAGGGCCATGGGGTGCACATGCTGGTGTCCTTCCTTTGGTGAACCTGCATAGGAGAGAAGCCATTGCTCTACACGGTGTCCAGTCTCTAGAGGCCTCCGAGGAACTAAGGGAGCAGACAGTGAGAAAAGAATGTCAGAAGCTCTACTAGGAATCATACTGTTGGGGTGGAGAGAGGAGACGTAGTGTAGTAGTTTGCAAAACATGTCCTGCAGTCCGTGGTGAGTCTTAGCCGGCTATTTCCTATATCTGCAAGAAAGAGTCCCAGATTAGACAAGCTCAGCTTAACACGTCTGTTAGCCACTTCCTTGGCTATTTTGGGAATCGGGGTTGGAAGAGACCTCAGGAGGTCACCGAGTCCAACCCCACAGTCCAGTCAGGATCTAAACTTTGATTTATCTCTGTCTCTCCTGCCATCCACAGCATGAATGAAATGCAGCTATAGCTGGGGTGTAGGCTGGCACAGCGTGAAAACAAGTGGAGGGGGAGATGCTGGGCAAAAGCCCAAGACAAATGCCAGCAAACACCATCTGTAATGCCCTGCATAGCGTTTCAGTGTCTCATTTGAGAGCACCCCGTTGAGTAGATTGCACGGGACTCCATCCCCCTGCCTGGAAGAATGAAGGGGTTGAGTTGGTCCCATTGGGATTTGAAGCAAGCTCTAAGGAGAGATTTCAGGGCATCTCATTGCTCAAACCACTAACCTGTCTCCTCTGCCTTGTGGTGTATTTGATGTTCACTCTGAAGTGCAGGGCACAGGTTGTAGGTAGCAAGATCATCCCTGACAAGAGCACTGCTGAATTTTGAAAGAATGGCGCTGGTTCCTGAGGCCTTCCCTGCTTGTTTTCTTTCAGGCGCCCTCACAGCTCGGGTGCTGGGTCCGAAGCGGAGCCGGGACGATAGCTGCGCTCAGGATGGGGTGAGCCCTCAGGCGTTCTTCAGCCGCTACCCGCAGCTGAGGGAGATTCTGCTGGGAGAGCTGCACTCAGCTCTGGAGACGGCAGGAAAACCCGAGGGAGGGAGGTTTCGCCTCTGCCCCTCGCTGCACGCCATCCTCACACTCTTGGCAAAACTCCAACCGGGGGCAGATGGACTGAGCAGGTAGAGAAAATGGAGAGGAGCCCATCCCATGGGCAGGGTGCAGGCTGTGGGTCCCTGCAGGGGCACTGCTGCCTGTGGCCAGCATGAGACTGACAATCTCCTAGAGCCAACAGCCTCCAGCTGCCTTCTGCAGAGGGAGAGGGTCTCCACCCTCTTCTGGTTCACTTACGTGCTTGGAGAGGATGGGATGTGTGATGGTGTTATGCTTAAAAGAAGCACACAAGATCTTTTATAGAGGAAAAGGCAGTACACTGCATTTATTGAGAATACAACAGTTGCATATGCTTTTCAATCATACAAACACCATACACATATACAGTCCCACCAAACGATGTTATAGTTACCAGTCTAGAGTCTGGATCAATCTAGTGGGCTGCCGGGCTCTGTTGGTCGATCGATCCAATACTCCTGTAGTTGGTGGCAAGACGAACCCAAAGTTCCATAGCAAAGCAGCCTGCTTTTATAATCAATGGATTTCGCTCTGTCAGCCTGTGACCAGAATGTTATCTTTTTGATGTCAATCATTCCCAAACGTCTCTTGAAGGCTCATCCTGTAATCAGTCGTCTTTTGGGGGTGCCAGCTTCACTTCACGGTTAGTCAGTCTGCCACTCTGCCAATAGTTCAATCACTCCTTATTATGGGTACACATTTTTGATGCCGAATCGTCTGTAGTCTAGTCTTCGCCCACACTCAACCTCCCTCTTTGGCCATCTGGTTCTGAGCAATAACTTTTGCACCGTATCTCGACACATTCATTCCCTTTTCACACACATAAGCAATGTTACAAGGGCTCTCAAGGTTATGCGGAACATCATCAACATCTACATTGGCAAGACAAAGAGGCATTGTAAATCAAGCAATTAAGGCCTCAGCCTTCAACATCCTTTTAGTTTCATTAACACAGACACAATGGCTACGTCTAGACTGGCATGATTTTTGGGAAATGCTTTTAATCGAAAAGTATTCTGTTAAAAGCATTTTCGGAAAAGAGCGTCTAGATTGGCACGGACGCTTTTCCACAAAAGCACGTTTTGCGGAAAAGCATCCGTGGCCAATCTAGATGCGCTTTTCTGCAAAAAAAAGCCCCGATCGCCATTTTCGCGATTGGGGCTTTTTTGCGGAAAACAAATCTCAACTGTCTACACTGGCCCTTTTGCGCAAAAGGGACTTTTGCCCAAATGGGAGCAGCATAGTATTTCCGCAAAAAGCACTGATTTCTTACAGTAGGTAGTCAGTGCTTTTGCGGAAATTCAAGCGGCCAGTGTAGACAGCTGGCAAGTTTTTCCGGAAAAGCGGCTGATTTTCCAGAAAAACTGGCCAGTCTAGACACAGCCAAAATGAAAAACTATCTTTTTACTTAGGCGCATTTACTAAACTCACTAAACTTTAGGACAAAGCAATAGACATTTAACTAAAAGGACTTAATTTAATGAAATATTAAATGTGTATTAACATACACCTTAAATTGTTATATTATTACAACATTATTAAACTACATTACTATATTTCTATACCTAAACTACAAATATAAAAAGAATAAAACTTTCAATTCCAACAGCCGGCGGTGGCACTGAGGGCTCAGGGGCCTGGTGGAGCTGACGTGTGCAGCCAACACATGCTCTCGAGCTGTTGTCCTTTTCTAGCCATCTCCATTTAACAGGGACGCAGACCAGCCGGAGGATAATCTTTGCTTTGTTAACCACTCTGCACTATTTGCTCTGCAGCCTCTCCACTTGCTTCCTGGAGCCCTTGCTTCAGCTCGCAGGAAACCCCAAGGCTCTGGTCCCTGTTGTCCCTACCGCTGAATTCAGGAAGATCCTGCTTCGACTGGCTGGGGACTTAACTAAGCCAGGCATTGTGCTATCCCACAACACGCTGCACGGGCGCCTGCTGCAGATACGGGCTCTGCTGGCTTACGCTGCTGACACAAACTGGTGAGTGGCTTTCCTTACTCCCTTTCTGTTTTTGCAGCAGCAAGGCATGATCCCAGACCCAGACTTCAAACCTAGGAGCGTAGTGAGAGCAGCATGGCAAGGAATGTTGAGACAGAATTGAAATCAACCTACTTTCTTCCTAGCTAAGTAGCAGATCCAAGGATCCATCCCAGACTCACTAGATGACTCACTTCCAGTGTTTGCAGCAATCCAGCCTTTCCTGAAATGGCTCCATATGCTATCCAAGGGGCAAGAAATAAGGACAGATCATGCTGCACAGAGCCCCCTCCTGGCTGCTCCATACAGTGCTAGGGACTAAGCAAAAGGATGTACGCTGAGCACATGTTCTGTTTAGTGGCAGGGTTGGGGAAAGGCTCCATCATACCGGAGGAAAGAGCCCATTGGGACCACCATCTCTAAGTCAGGATACTGGGTAGTGACTGTGTCTTCCCAAATGCAGTACCCTGTCCCCTTCTAGGAAACAGAATTGTAATGCATGGCTCTGCAGAGAACTGGGTAAGCACCTTTCAGAGAAATAAGCTAACGCATCCATAACAATTGTTCCTGGCATCCTGGTAGGTAAACTCTTCCATTTCCTTTCAGTTTGTCAGCAGATGCCAGGCTGGCTATTGCTCATCAGATGGGAGGCCAATTCTGGTTGGTCACACCCGCACAGCAGTGCCCTCTGATTCGCTCAGCCTACCTCCAGATCATCTTCCTTTTGGTGGGGAGCTGCACCCAGAGTTTTGCAAAGCATCTTCGAGAGGTTGTGAGCAGTGAACTGGAGAGCCTCAAGCCAGGGCTGAAGGCCAGGTCTTCCGAGCTCCAGGTATTTGCCTCTTCTAAGGATGTGTACATTGGGGCGACCTGGGGTCACAAACGCAGCTCAAGGGTAAGGAATGTGCAGGAGGAATACGCTACTAGTCAAGCTGCAAACTCACACTGGACCACTGTAAACTCTTCGCTGGGTATGGCACACAGAATAGGGATGAGGACCAGTCATTCTCTTAAACTCAGGGAAATCAGAGCATGATGTAAGACTGGGTAGGGAACCTTTTTGGGATCGGGAGCTGCTAACCCACAGAGATGTCAGTCGGAGGCTGCACAAAAGTGAGGAAACAGAAAAAGTGCACGCGCGCACACAAACTGTTGCAGATGCCCCAGCCAGAACCACACTGGGAAAGGGTTCTGGGGCTTGCCCGCTCTGGCCACTCCTTCCCTGCATGAGGTGCCTTTTAGGAGGAAAGGGCTGGGGTGGGCTTCCCTTCCCTCCCTCTCCTGCAAGGGATTCCCCTCCCCTCTTCCCTGAGATCCTGCCTGCCCCCTTAACTGTTAAGGAGGCATTGCTGGCAGCAACGTATAGCTCCAGTGTGCCAGACACTGTTCCCTGCTGCAGACAGCCTATTTAGGGAAGGGAGGAGGGAGAGAAGCTGGCCCTACTGTAGCCTCCCCTTCCTCCTGAAAAATACCCCATGCCAGGAAGGGGGTTGGGAGCTTCCCTTCCCTCCTACTCCAGGATGGATCCCCCACCCTCCTGGTCCCACATGCCTCCTTACCGGCAAAAGAAGTTTTGCTGGCAGCCTCTGCAGCTGCCCAAGCTTAGGAAGCACCTTCAGCCTTTTCTTTTCTTTTGCTGCTGCCTTGCAGAAATGTCGCAGGGCTCCAGCATGTGGAGCTTCTCCCTCTCACCATGTCTCTTGCGCATGCCTCTCCCACGTGCCGGAGAGGAACCGGAAGTATCTGTCCACGCTGCAGGGGAAGCTGGGAGAAGTTTTTAAAGCAGTACCTGGGACTCCTTACAGCGTTTCACAGCTGCTGGACTCCCTGAGGGTTGGATTAAATGGTTTGGTGGGCCAGATGTGTCCCACAGGCTGGAGGTGCCCCACCCCTGCTATAAGGGGACAGAGAATTGTCTAGGGGTCAGAGCAAGGATTGGAAGTCAAGATTCCTGGGTTCTGTTCCCAGCTTTGTCACTAGGCCCGCTGATGGGGGGAGAGGAGGAGTAAAGGGGGCAAAAGGGACAACTGTCCCAGGTCCCAATGATTCTGCTACAGTGGCAGTGCCTGGAATCTCGGGCCCTTTAAATTGTTGCCAGAATGCTGCATAATACACTCCAGGTGGCTCAGAGGGCTGGGGTGGGTGTCACATTCTGGGTGGCGCTGAGGGCTGTGGGTGGGGCGGGGGCTGATGT